TATAATATCTGTGTGCAAAGGCCATTCATGTTGTAGTATGGAGTTAAAGGTGATTATCCAGAGCAACGGACCGGCGCAAGAGCCTTGTGGACACCCTCTTTCCTGCCGCTTGATAGTGAGGCCATTGTTGTTGGCTACTATGAGGCTACGTGCATGTAGATAGTCCGTGATGATGTTAAAGATTTTTTGGGACATTGTGCCTCTGTGCTTGCTTTATAGCAGGCCACCAGAGGGTGTCAAAGGCGCTTTGCAGGTCCAGGGATATGAATGCCGTGTGAAGATTTCTGCCTCTATTTTGTTCTATGCTATCTTTAAGATGACTCAGGGCATGGCGTGGTTGACAAGCCAGTTCGGAACCCGTATTGCCGTGGGCTGAGGAAGTTGGTCTGCTCGAGATGGAATTTAAGTCTGTTTACCAGTAATTTTTCATAAATTTTTCCCAGAGACGAAAGTAGGCAAATTGGCCGAAACGAGCTTGGGTCATCTGGGGATCTCTGCTTCTTCAGGAACAGGACCACTTCTCCTTTTTTGAAAGCATTGGGAAGATCTGTATTTTTAAGAGCTTGCTGAAATATTTCTCGAAGAAGGTAGGGCGGGATGTGTAAGCCACCTTTATTATAGCATAGTCTAGACCATCTGGTCCCGGAGCCTTTTTTATGGGAAGAAAACGGAAGATTTGCTGTATTTCAGCTGAGTCGAAGGGAATGTCGTCTGGTGTGTTAGGAATGGAATGGTTGTCCCGTGTCTTCTGTTGTTCTTCTGTTGAATCATCATCCGGGTTATCTGCTAGGAAAACTTGCATTAAGGATAGCAGATGCTGTGGTTTCTGCAAGATTGGTGGTTGTCTGAGTTATTGGCTGCTTGGGCATAAAGCTGGTCAGGCTTGTAAACTTTATTTGTAGCTAGTTTATGCAGGATTCCATAGACGTTGGTATTAGCTGTGCAAAATTTCCGCCAGCTATTGACTTTGGCTCGTAGTATGCATTTTTTATAATGCGCCCTTTCCCTGCGGAATGTGGTCAGCAATGCCATTTTGGTGGCTTCGTCCATTACACCTCGGAGACGCCGTCTTAGGGCTCTGCACTTTTGCCGTAATTGGCGTAGTTCCTTAGTCCACCAGCATATGCCTTGTATGCGTTTAGCATGCGAGTCTTCAGGAGCTTGTCGCAAATACATCGCAATGTATTGAGGAGATGATCTGTATAAGTGTCTAATTCCCTCTGGGCTATTTTTATTTGGTCTATTACTTCTTCTTCACTCTGTAGGGTATCCGAGAAAGCCTTTGTTAATGCACGCAGTTTATTGCCTGGGATCTTGTAGCGCTTAAGGATAGTGATGCTTGTGTCGGTATTAATTGCAAAGTGGATATATTTATGATCAGAGCAACTCTCGTCGTCTATGACCCTCCAATCTGTTATATTGGCTATGTTACTTGTAGCTATTGTTAAATCAGGCCATCCTTTGTTGTATGAGTTGTCGAACGTCGGTGGGGCGTTCTGAGTATTTATTAACTGTAGATTGGCTGTCATTATAAATTCTTCTAACGCTGTTCCTTTCGGTGAGGTATTTGGGTATCCCCAATGACGTTGTGCGCATTTTAGGTCTCCACTTATTACGTGAGGAATGGTAGTATGTTTTCTGTGTATTTCTGCTATACTATCTACTGCATTGCTGATGTCTTCTGGTGGAGAGCTGTAGACGGATGATAGGATAATCTGGGAGTTATTATAATTCAGAAGAATTGCAACATGATCTCGTGCCTGCTTGGTAATGAGTGGGGACCATTGTGGATTACAACAAATGATCGCCGCTCTCGGGGTAGTTCATTAAGTTGCGCTTTCCGCTGGAAGATCTTCCATGAGAGTGGTAGGCAGGCTATTGCGCCGTTTCTGCAGTAAGGCTCTTGGAGAAGGATGATATCTATCTCATGATCGAGGACATGCTGCACTAGCTGCGTATTAGCTGCTTCTGCCCGTTGGAGATTAATTTGCGTGCATTTTATGGAGCCTGCTGAGGAATGAGTTAGAATCAGGTTGGCTGGGTTGTCGATATTTGTCGGTAGGATCTCTTGTGAGATAGTGTTGCTATTCTTCAGACGCATTAGGTAGTAACATAGCATTGGTAGGCTGCTGAGATGTTATAGCTTCAGTATTGTGTGTTGCAGCGTGTGTTGTAGACGGCTCTCTGGTACATCGGGCATTCCGGGTGGTATGCCGGATGTTTCAAAGTAGTAGGAGGTGCCGTTGCGGTAGTTACAGTCCCCGCAATTGATACAGGCTGGTGACTCTGCTTGACAGACTTTGGTGTTGTGCGACCCAGCGCAGAAGGCACAGAACTGTTTCTTGCTGCGGCAGAGATCCTGGGAGTGCCCGAATTGCTGGCATCTATAACATCTATGGATTCCCAAGAACTCCGTGATAGTATGAGCCTGCCATGCTGTGAACAGACGTCTGATGTTTGATGGCGATTCCAAAGCTCTCCGTGGTACACTCGAGAACCCATTTGACTCTGTTTGCTCGGCGCTCTTTAAGTTCGGAACAGGGGTTTGTATACTCTTGCTGATAGACCTGCCGTTGCGCCTGAGCTCTGCAATGAGCTGCTTCTGGTTTAACATGTTCTAGGAACATTATGGATGGCTATTCTCGGCTGCCTCTTTTGCCTACCTGAGACGAACCTCTGGCCTGGACCTCAGCTTTTTTGATGTGCTCCTGTATAACTTTAGTACCTCCTCGTTTGTATTACAAAAAACTTCTAGTCCGCCTTTTGGAGCCGGTTTGATAGCGTTGACGGCAACTGGGATCTCACTAAGTGGAACCTTTTTCTATAACTGTGTTCTTAGATCACGTGGATGGATACTCCCTAAAGGGTTGATGATCAGACTGGGTTTACTGAACTGTTTAAGCACTGCCGCAAAGGTTGGTTTCTGGGGCACAATCGCTGATGGTGTTGTCTCTGACTTCAAGTGGCTATGGCCTTTTCCCCCCCGGTGTTCCTTGGGAAGCCTGCGTAGTTGCTGTTACTGGCAGGGAGTGCGTGTTTGTACTTGAACTAACCACCTCAGGGTAAGGAGGTGTTAGTGCCAGTGGTACAGCGCGAGGATTACAGAAGTGATCATTCTCGTCTTTGTTGACTACCTCTGTTTCACGTAATGCGATGTCCCGAAAGATCTCTAGAGTGGCTATGAGGCGTGGTAATATATTTTTATTACCTCGGAACTGTTTTGGCTATTTGTACGCTCTCGTCGAAGACCGCTTTTATTTTTTCTCTATATGAGAAGTCAGTTGAAACTAAGTGATTTGGCAAATCTAGATCACTGCAGTGTGTGGAGGTACGCATTTCAGACATACTGCATTGAGTCTATTGTATGAAATCACTAATGATAAAAAAAAATATTCTGCTATTCCGCAGATTCACTAATTGCTATTGGAATCTTTAAAATTATGCACTAAGTCTCTAATTTCACTGTGTAGACTATCTCACTGAATGCTGTAGAAATCTCTATATTATGGCAATTAGAGGCACTATACTGAGCACTAAATTGTGGCACTATAACAAGGAACTATCTTAAGGCACTGTAATCTCTATATTAAAGCACTGCTGTCTTATATATGTATATGTCTTATATGTGTATATGTCTTATATGTCTTATATATATTTATGCTGAAGTCTTATATTAGGAAGCTGTTGAGATCTCTATATTAAGGCACTGAGTCTCTAATTCACTGAATACACTAAATCACAAAGCCACTGCGTAACTGTAGTTCACTTGCCGCATTGACACATGCACATAAGCGTTTATGCGTGCGCGTAAGACCTTTACGACTGCGCATATGCGTGTGTGCAAGTGCAGAATACATTTTCGCGTGCGCGTTTAATGTATAACGGACGGTATGAGCTAAAATTATCTAATTATCTATTTCAGTTAATGTTGGTGATTGCGTTGTTCCTTAATCTTCGAACTGGATCCTGCTTATTACTTTTTTCAGACTGTAAAAGCAATTTTATAAAAGTAAACTTGAACTTTCGATTATGTCAAATAGAATTTCCGATGCTGGAGCTCCCAAAGGATCTATAAAACGAAAGTACGTTTCGATGTCCATCAAACAAAAAGTGGATTTGCTGCAAAAAATGGATAAAGACATGAAGAAGGTGACAGAGAGGTCAGTGAAAACGAAAAAATTTCGATTGACAAGTTAGTCGGTATTCTCGGCACAGCAATTACGGGACTTGAACAGCAGGAACTTCGTAACTGAACAAGAAATTGTCTTTTATAAATGTCTCTTTTATAGATTAAAGAGAAAGTATTATCACATAAAATGAAAGCAACTTAAACAACTTACATTGAAAGAAATGTTTAATAAAGTAAACAAATAAATATTAAGCTTTTTTTTTTTTTTTTTTTTTTTTTTTTTATTTTTGATACCCTTTAGATCATAATTGTTCTTTATTTCATAAATTACGGTTTCATATTTTTAATTTTAGAATTTCTGCATGCCATCTTACGAGATTTAAACTGATGATCTATAATGCGGAAAAATCGATAATCCGGAATCGCCAAAGTCCCGACGAGTCCAAATTAACGACTTTTGACTGTACAGAATTTACAGATATGGTGATCATCGCATATATGAATATAAACAAATCTTGAATAGAATATAAAGTTGATTTATTAGTTCAAAAAAATTTTTTTTCATTTTTTTTTGTCTGAAGGATTTAATATCTCCCAGTGATCTGTGATTTATTCATAAGGCTAATTTTATAATACCCTATTTTTTCTTCTTTCTTGTCTTCCCCACTTTAAAGTAAATTTTATTGAAAAATGTTCTAAAGTTATTTTAACTCAATATGATACTTTATTATCATTTTACTATTTTCAAAATCTTTCTCAAATGAATTTCAATAGTTATTACATTCGGCTGGCATGGCACTGCAAGAACATGTAATCACATTATTGATAGCAAAAGCACACAGGGAAATAAATTGTATTACCAAAGGCTTACCTTCATAGGCGAGAAAATCACCTCCAAATTTTGAACCTCCAGTTATATAATAGTCTTTCTCCCACAGATCTCTGAATACAGAATAGCGAAGGTTTTCTGTATCAGATGAAGGATACCTCCATCTAATACTCTCTACGTCTACATTTTTCCAAGGGCATTCTAAGATAAAAATAAGCAATATATACTAAAAATCAACCCACATTTGCTAAGCATTATGTACTAAACACTTAAGTGTTATTTTTCAAAAAGATACTATAATCACTATCATCTTTGTAAATATAAGTTTTACATAACAGAATAATTTTGCAATTTTCAAATGTTTTCATTTATGAACAAGAAATTGATGCAACAAATGGCTTTAAAGCCAGTCTACGCAATACATGTATTAAAAGTCAATTATTATATGCATATATATTATTTAAATGAGTGTATACTTCTAAATTCTTCTGGAATTCTTTTACTTAATTATTTGGCTTTAAATAAGATTTATATTGACAATGCACCTTCCTTAAGTATATCTACTTTATACTGTTTCTTCCTCTTTATTACTATTACTTTGCTTGATTTCATAATATATGTCATATTTCAGTCTAATGTAGTAGACCTATAGTGAGTACAGACTCTTTTCATGAACAGATTTTTTTTTATTTACATCAATTATTGAGTAAAATCATGAATTGTCAATCTTAAGCATTTTGATTAACATTAATCTTAAGCATTTTATAAATATTTAATATTACCCAGTATAAAAAGTTACTAAATCTGCACTGATATGCAGAATGATTACTAGTTCTCTATTAATTTTTACCAAACTGATATTGTAATACTTTATCTTAATACTTTACCTTAAAACAAATTCTACATTTAATATCTGAAAGCCATACATTCCATTTCATAAATATCCATATTATGTTGAAAAATTAAAAGAAATTCATATTATAATGTGTTTACTAAACTACCTTCAGCATCATAGTAATGCTAGGCTTCAGCACAAAAATCATGCACATACATTCTATTTAACATTTAATGAAATTTTCCATTTATGTAACATTTATAATCATCATATATCCCACTTAATAAGCATTTGATGTAATGTACTTTATTTTCAGAACATTATGACTGATAAATACTTATTACCCCAAGCATCAAATAAGAAATCCAAAGACATACTTTAATGTCAGAATGAAAATCCAGGTCCTGATTTAGTTCCTAAAATGAAAAAATACAGATCTTCCCAAACTATTTGAAAGGTTACCTGTGGTAAATTCAACTGTCATACAAATGCAATAACATATTAAATATCAGCAGATAATTTAGCAATAACACAAATAATTTCATTTAAAATTAACTTCTACATGCCTTCAACACTATTAGAATTTAAGAAACTTATTCTGAAACGTTCAAGAAAAAATAGTTTTTCTGCTGCGGAAAAAAATTCCAGATCTCTAAAGCAAACATTCATGGACCAATACATGATATTTTCTTTAGTGGCATATATACTATAATTAATCTGGGTAAATCCAAATTCCAATATCTACATCTACTTATACATAGAATAATTATCAATGCATTATCCCTCTGATGTAATTCTTAATCAAAATATAGAAAGATTTTGTTACAGAAAAGCCTGATTATTTGGAAAGCAATAGAAATACTGAATTCCTAATAGTTGAGCATATAAAAAATGGAATTCATGTCAGAAATGCAAAAATGAATAAGAAATATTTCAGCTTAAATTTATAGAAACAATCTTCTTATTTGCTACCAAATTGAATAACAAAAGTTCACATTTAAAAGTATAGACGAAAAAGGAGGGAGGCCATTTCAGACATAAAACCCGATGTATTTTGTAGTCCTTAAACATGAAAGTTTATAAGATTCTATTACGAAATCCCACTGAACATGAAATTTGGCAGAAGTTTACAAGAACAAGTCATTTTTTATTTAATTAGATAATAAAGATACAATTTACTAATACAGCATGTAAAAAATTTAAACTGTTATCATAATTAATCATAAAAAAGTCAGGATAAAAAGAACTTAGATCCTTCTCTACAAAAATGAAACTGCCTTATAATTGATGAGTTTACATTAAACCAAAATGAACATCTTACACTGTGTTGTGACTCATGCTTATCCATTAAAGGCACTAAATCACTCTGTTTGTTGACAATGTATATGTGTCAATAGTGTTAACAGCTCTAAAATGGTATTACAGATCTCTCATTTAATAAATTTTGAGGAGAAAATTTTTTTCTAAAATTCTGAAATACTCCGATTAGTTGAGTGCCAGATAGTCAGGTTTTTACTGTAATTCAGGGTTTCTTAAATTCAGTCGCGACCCCTTTTTATCACAGATTTTTTTCGCAACCCCTGAACCCCATAATATTTTAAAAATTTTGTGGGACCCCATAAGCATTGCGTAAATCCGACACACACGAGTGAAACTGTCAATTTTTTTCACTTGTGCTCTAATATACTACAGTCAAAAGTCTTTAATCCGGACGTCCATAATCCGGAATGATCTATAAACTGGACTTCAAAGCTACAAACTTTCTGCGCATGTGTCAATGCAAATTGCGTTGACACATGCACGTAATACCTTTACGCATGCGCATATGCGTGTACACATGCATATAATACATTTACGCATGCACGTTTAATGTATAACGGACGATATAAGCTAAGCTAAAATTATCTATTTCAGTTAATGTTGAAAACTGCGTTGTTCCTTAATCTTCTAATTGGATCTGGCTTATTATTTTTTGCAGACTGTTAGAGCAATTTCATAAAAAGTAAGCTTGAAATTTCGATTATGTCAAAAAGAGTTTCCAATTCTGAAGCTGCCAAAGCATCTACAAAGTGAAAGCATGTTTCAGATGTACTGCTTCCGACAGTGAAGAAAGTGAAAAAGAGGTTATTGAAAATGAAAAAATTTCTATTGACACATTAGTCGGTATTCTCCACACAGCAATTATTTCGATCATGTCAAAAAGAATACAAAGTGAAAGCATGTTTCGATGTCTATCAAAAAAAAAAAAAAAAGGAATTGCTGCAAAAAATGGATAAAAGCATATTCTTTGTTTTCTAACCATTCCGAAATCGGTTTATCAATTTCACGCTGCTCTGTGCGGGGGGGACGTCGCGGCGTGCAATGAACTGGAAGTTGATCTGTCAGCACTATCCTTATCTTAAGGGCAGATGTTTTTATTTTATTCCGCTTATAATTCCTTACTAAATGTAGTATTTCATCTCGATGTACTTCGTCTTTGATTTGATTTAAATCAAATCCCTCGTCATTATAAATATCACGAATACACATCAAATAGTTTTCTGGTTGCGTAATGTATGTTTTAGGTATGCACGCTTTGAAAGAAATCTTAATAAAGCAAACAAATAAATATTAAGCTTTTTTTTTTTTTTTTTTGTAAATTTTGATACCCTTTAGATTATAATTGCTCTTTATTTCATAAATTACGGTTTCATATTTTTAATTTTATAATTTCTGCATGCCATCTTACCAGATTTAAACTGATGATCTATAATTCAGAATCACCAAAGTGCCGACGAGTCTGGATTAAAGACTTTTGACTGTATTGCAGTTTTAGATCATTAACTTTTTCATTTTAAGACAGAGAACAATGTGAAAATTTTAAATAAGTAACAGACGAAATGACAGCATCATGTGCAAAGCAAGGAACATGAATGTTTGTATTACAAAAAGAATGCGTCGAAACGTTTTCATTTTTTTTTTTTTCCTCTTTTGTCTGTATTGTCTTATCTTTATCTATTTTCAGATACATCATGTAAAAATATTAGGTAATTGTAAAATTATTATAACAAGGTTCATACACATTTCTGCACATGGAAATTAAGTACTTTTAAGGACCATTAATGAAAAAAATTAAGGACCTATGAGCAAATCGGAACTGAATAATTTCAATTAAAAATATTATCTATGCCTGAAATTCCCTTTTGTAATACCATCCTAAAAATAAAACAGATTCCTAAAACATGAATTAATTAACATAGTTATTAATAAGTTTGAGAATAAAATAAGCTTTATGCAATTTATCAAGTAGCATTAATTATTTTACATTTACAATACAGTCGAAAGTCTTTAACCCAGACTCGTCGGGACTTCAGCCATTCCGGATTATTGGTTTTTCCGGATTATAGATCATCAGTTTAAATCTGGTAAGATGGCATGCAGAAAATATAAAATTAAAAATATGAAAACATAACTTATGAAATAAAGAGCAATTACGATCTAAACGGTATCAAAATTTACAAAAAAACTTAATATTTATTTGTTTACTTTATTAAACATTTCTTTCAACGCGCGCATGCGTAAAGCATATACACTGGTTATCGTAAATTAAGGAAAAATAAAAAAAAATAGCCATAACTCCCTCAAAAATTATTAAACCGTGTAAATTTTGAATATGTTGCCAAGTAAGAGTAGCTGAGTAAAACTCTTAATATGCAAATTAGTGGCGCTGCACTCGGAATACGTCATCTGCGAGGAGCATAAAAGTCCATGTTTGAGAGCAAGCCCAGATATTTCACTGTGATAGTGACATCAGAAATCGGAGATAGCCAATTCGTAACAATGATCTCCAGACATCATTTGCCTGCAGAACTACGATAGAAAGCCATTGAGAGACTAGAGGCAGGACAAAGCTAAACAGAAGTTGCCAGATGGCTAAACGGGAGTCCTTCTGTGGTTCATAGACTTTGGAGGCAATTTCAAATCACAGATTCGGCACTTAGGAGGTCAGCTAAGGACGGCCAACTGCTACAAAGAGCGTGGATGACCGATATTTGACATTATGTGCACTCAGGAATAGAACCGCTACTCTGATTCTTCTTAGATCCTCCCTTGCTGCAGCCACTGGAAGATTGGTGTCAGCGTCAAATGTGCATAGAAGGCTTCACAAAGGTGGTCTGTATGCGAGGTGAACAACCATTTGCGTGCCGCTCAAGTCACGGCATAGCAGGGACCGTTTGCAGTAGGCACGACAACATGTCCACTGGACGCGTGAGCAATGGAGGGCTACTCTCTTTACGGATGAGTCCAGGTTTAGTCTAGAACGCGATAGTAGGCGTTATTTGATATGGAGAGAACCTGGAACCCGTTATCATCCATTAAACATCCG